GTTTTACGGCATTCCAACAGCATTCGGAACATTCTGATCGCATTCGACGGAGAGTCAAAACGTCATGCCACTTCAAATCCTGTCAGAATGAGCCGGAATGCACCTCGAATAGAATGCATCTCGATTGCTGTCGGAATTTATTTGTGTTACATTCTAAATATTGGACGTATAAACCATATTCGATGGCCATTCCGGGGGAGTTTCAACTGCATTCGAGGTGAATTCGTATAGAATTCGAGACATTTATGGGTGGTATTTGGGCAGCAATCAAACAGCACTCATACGGCATTCTAACATCACTCTAAATATTCGGACTGCACTCCAACAGCATTCTAAATATTCGGACTGCATTCTAACATCACTCGGAATATTCGGACTGAATTCTAACATCACTCTAAATATTCGGACTGCATTCTAACATCACTAAATATTCGGACATCACTCTGAATATTCGGACTGCATCCTAACATCACTCTAAATATTCGGACTGCATTCTAACATCACTCTAAATATTCGGACTGCATTCTAACACCACTCTAAATATTCGGACTGCACTCTTACAGCATTCTAAATATTCGGACTGCATTCTAACATCATTCTAAATATTCGGACATCACTCTGAATATTCGGACTGCATTCTAACATCACTCTAAATATTCGGACTGCATTCTAACATCACTAAATATTCGGACATCACTCTGAATATTCGGACTGCATTCTAACATCACTCTAAATATTCGGACTGCATTCTAACATCACTCTAAATATTCGGACTGCATTCTAACATCACTCTGAATATTCGGACTGCATTCTAACATCACTCTAAATATTCGGACTGCACTCTTACTTCTAATACAACCGGAATTACAAGGATCATTCGAGGTGGGATCTAAGCATTCGAACGGCATTCTTACAAATCTGTAAGAATTTTGGTCAATTTGAAATTTCCTTCCAAGCAGAACATTAGGACGTCAAATCCTATTTTATTTGAGGACTGCCTCACTTCGTCTGTTCAGATTGTATTACATACCAGGGTATAAAAATACACAGACTAGAAGACTACAAATAATATTTATTATTTCTATATTTAGTGAATTTTATTGCTTTTTTTGTTTTTTTTGGATGAGTTTCTAAATTGAGAACTTCTGAATATTTTACATTTCTAAATTTTATACATTTCTAAATTTAAACATATTACATAAATCCTGACCTTGGGCAACGAAGAAGCATGCAGTGGCAGCGTTAGTTTGGGACAAAATGACATTTAACGTTTAAAATGGAGTTTTCTGTGGCAAAATGACTATTCTGTGTCATTTCCAGGCAGACAGGGGAAATTTAACTTTACACACAGGGACTCGTTTTGTTTGTCTCATCTGAAGGACTAGATGGTTAACTCCACCTACGTCCTGCATCATCACTGCCCACTTCCCCCGTCCCGTATCATCACTGCCCCCTCCCCCTCCCCACCACCCCACCACCCCGTCCCGTATCATCACTGCCCCCACCCCACCCCCGTCCGGCCCACATCATCACCCTTCGATATAAAAGTAGGCAGTAACGCCGCTGTCTGAACAAAATTTCCCCCGTAGCACACTGTATGACGTACGCCCATCTTCATTAGCCCAGTCGGAGCAGAACAACATGGGCGTTAAACCCCATTTTATTTCATTTCATTTTTATCATCTATATTCTACATAAGGTCTGATATTGAGTCAACTGGCGTGGTTTCGATTCCCCGGGTTGTACGTGACAAGGAGTAGGGTCGCCTGTCCAACCTCGTGGGTTTTCTCCGGGTCCTCCGGTTTCCTCCCACTGCTAAAGACCCCTACGCGCAAGCAAATTATTGAAATAAAATTAAACCATATGTTAATCCCGAAATGACATAGTTTGTGTCGAGTGGACGTTAAACCCCATTTCTCTCTCTCTCTCAAACATAACCCAATTAAATACTATATTTGCATTTATTTTAAATACTTCAAGTGCCATGAAGTTTATTTTTAATTGTTTATGTCACCATCATAGTGTAAAATAAATAGTTTCCGGTAGATTAGACCATTAATAATTTTATCACAACCTTACATCCATCTTTTTTAAACAAAGGGTCAACTGTTTGACTAGAAAATCTATTTTATTTTTTCCTAAATATTACAACGTATTTATGGTACGCTTTAACAAAAACACGGCTGATTATTCATTGTTCAATTTGACAGCGAGTAAAGTTATAGTTCAGCTTGAAATTATTTATTGTGGCATTTTAAAAAAAATGAGAAATAAGTAAAACAGTTCACGCATCTTTTTGGGACTTGTGCTTTGACTTGCATAGATAAAAACATGTAATGACTTCAACAAGTCAGTATAAGGGATAGAATAGGGTTAGGGTCCTACTTTTCGACACCAAACGACCTAATGAAGACACGGGAATATGTGCTATGAGGGAAATGTCCGAGTAGCGGTTCTCCATCTCAATCTTATTTCGAATTCCTACCATCGAGGGGTCTTTAACGTGCACGCCAACATGTACACTGGATCTCAGCTTTTCGTCCCATCCGAAGGATTTGGCAAGCCCTTCGTTCTACATCATTGACAAGGGACAAAACCACGCTGTAAAATGTCTGAAAAGTATCTTGGCTAATCCTCAATATCCTGATTAGTGAGCCTGCACCTGATGCACCCGCGAGTATAAGAGTAAAAGAGAGAGAGAGAGAGAGAGAGAGAACGAGAGGGGGGAGAGAGATAGAGAGAGGGGGGGGGGGGAGAAAGAGAGATGGGGTTTAACGTCCACTCGACACAAACTAAGTCATTTCGGGACTAACATATAGTTCAATTTTATTTCAATAATTCGTTTGCGCGTAGGGGGTCTTTAGCCATGTGTGTGTGTGGGGGGGGGGGGCGGAGGACCCGGAGAAAACCCACGATTATTAGTGATTGTAGCGGCCTGGCGAATATTCACTGCTGATCAGTGTGGTGTAGGCCATCGAAAGTATAAAAAAAAACGAAACGAAATATAGTTCTGTATTTTAATCAGATCGTTAAAAAAAACTGTTTAGATTGTTTTGTTTTTTTTTAAAAAGCAAACTAGTTCATTATAACTATTTTATTTTATTTATTTATTTATTTTTTTAAAACAATATAGGCATTCTAGTATTTTAAAGTACATAACGAATTGCCAGCTTTTGTTCTTGTCAAACTAATAAATAAAGAATGACGTACTATTGATAATAAATTAATATGTCACAATTTATATATTTAGCCATAAGACATAGAAACAAGCTTAATTCATTTTTCGGTGTCAATATAAGTTAATTTAAGCTACCGCCTCCATATTTCGTTCTTCAAAACACACGATCGCATCATTCATAAAGTCACATATATTATCTTAATGAATTCAAAATAGCACGAAATGAAGAAAATATGAATTGTCTAGAAACTAGCGGCAAAACGACAAATCACTCTAGATAACTAATGTTTGATAGTGCACTAAAAATATTTGTAACATGGACGGGATATCTTCCTTTGATCTTTTCGTTGAATAAGCAGATTGTTTTCCCTCGAGTAGATTGGGTGGAGCTTAACCGTGCAATAACCAGCACACTTTTGCTGGTTTACATTAGTTTTAGTAGAAATCATATAGAGAAGTGGGGTGGGTTTTCTGTGCAATAACAATAAGCATGTTGAGCAGGTGTCAATGTTACAAGTCATTGATAGCACGCTTCATTCGTTAACGGGTTTAACACCTCGGCCTACGGCCTCTGGTTAAACCGGTTCAACAGGTGGCTGTATCAATACGGCCAATGAACGGTTAGATCTATTTGATAAGGCCAACTTCAAGTTTGGTCAAAGGTCACGAGATGTAAACAGGGCTAGCGCTAATCCCAACCCTAACCCTAACCCTGGAGCTAGCCCCAATGCTCACCTAACCCTAACCTACAATCTCTATAACAATGACGTGTCATAACCTTATTTACATCCCAGCGACCTTGACAAGAATTGAGCTGGCCTTAACAAATACGTTTGTCGTGTATTTTGTACACGGTGAACAGTCCATATGCTGATTACACTATTTTGCCTATACCGTTTTTTTCGGACTTCGAATTTTGTCTAATGGTTTGGATTGTTCGTACTTGGTTTTATTTTATTTAGCCGAATGGTGACTAAGGGTAGAATTAAAACATACGGTCTTAGGAAGAAATAGGGCTATGACATAAATCTTGATTCAAGAAAAAATTTCTTAAAATGCTTGAGGACATAGTGAGCCATTCAGTACACTATTCTAGTCGAGAACAGATTAAGCTGGTTGAATAAAGTCGCGGGACTTGACATTAATCAACCGTGTATTATGTCTAAAAAAATATTATGTTTTATGTGGCATGCAATAAATTATACATGTAATTTTCTACTCTGTTTGGGGGTTGGATGTCCGAATGGTTAGCACCTGCGAGATGTATAATAAGGTCTGTCATTGAGTCAACTGGCGTGGTTTCGAATCCTCGGTTGTACGTGACGAGTAGGGTCGCCTGTCCAACCTCGTGGGTTTTCTCCGGGTCATCCGGTTTCCTCCATTACTCATTACATGGCCATTACTTGAAAAATGTAATGATTACATTCCATTACCATTACCCCAGCCCTGTCGGATCACTCTTTTAACTGGGACCTGGATTCATTGTTTAGTTCGCCTAACTTATGAAATGAAATGGGGTTTAACATCCTACTGTTCTGCTCCGAACACGGGACCTCAGTTTTTCGTCCCATCCGAACGACTAGACAGCTGTCCTTTTCAGGCCCTCCGTCCAGCATCACTGACATGGGGGAGCCACGCCGGAAAATCTGGATGAACTTTCTCGGCCAATGCAGGAATCGAACACCTGACCCCAGGCTAGCGAGCCAGCATCTTACCCTCTTAGCCACCATGAACCCTGATCTAATTTGGATCAAATTTCGACAACATAGGCAAAACACCCCCCCCAGAACAAGGTCTTGATATCAATCACTCAGAACAATAATTTAAATAAATATAATTTATTTTTATGTTATTTACAATAATATACACTTTACATTCATTTACAAGAACAGATCCTGGTATACAGAGAGAGCGAGAGAGGGAGAAATGGGGTTGTCGACACAAACCAGGTCATTTCGGGACTAACACATGCTTCAATTTTATTTCAATCATTTGCTTGCGCGTAGGGGTCTTTAGCAGTGGGAGGAAACCGGAGGTCCCGGAGAAAACCCACGAGGTTGGACAGGCGACCCTACTCCTTGTCACATACAACCGGGGATTCGAAACCCCGCCAGTTGACTCAATGACAGGCCGTATGATACAGCGCGCGTGCTAACCATTCGGCCATCCAACCCCCCTCATATACATGAACCGATTCTGGTATACAAGAACAGATGCTGGTATACAAAAACAGATCCTGGTTAACAAAAATAGTATTTCCACCTCATTTAAACCAAATTTAGTCAAGCTCTGTATTTTCATTACTAACAAAACTTTTCAGAACCTATCTTTAAAACGCAAAAAAATGGTTACTTAATAATAATGAATTTGTATAGTGCCTCTCATCTAGAACTGTTCTACTCGATGGCGCTGAGCTGCACTGTCACGTTTGGTATTCACAGTTAAATAAGTGAGTCTTCAAGGATAATTTTAAGGGACTCTAAAGTTCTGGATTCCTTTAATTTTGCAGGCAGTTTATTCCATTGGATGGGTGCTGCTGCTGAAAATGCCCTATCACCACATGATACCTTCAACGTTTTTGGAACTGCAAGGTCGTGTTTTGATGTTGATCGAGTTGTTCTTTCTCCACTTTTGATTTGTATAAGATCACTCAGGTAGTTAGGAGCTAAACAAATCCAGGCTTTATTTACAAAATGAAATTAAAAAGGGTTTAAATTCTCACTATTTTGTCGACCAACTGGCATATGCTATGAGAAAATGAGGGAAATTTTGCCCGGGCAGTGGCACTATGGCTAACTATCAGGTGATCTATATTATCCATCCAATGATATACAAATACATGTGGGACTTTAGTTTTTCGTCTCGTCAGAATGATTTTTCCTTGTCGGCCCGAAACCCCTTTTTTGTGGGCCTTGGTAAATCTGGGACTAGAATTAAACTCTGTGGTGCCCTTGATGATTTTGTTATTTTGATCGACCAATCCCATAAATCATTAATTGCAAAGTAAAAGTTGGTGAAGGGAAGTAACTCTCATCGTGTTGCAACAAAGTAAAAGTTGGTGAAGGGAAGTAACTCTCATCGTGTTGCAACAAAGAGACTAAAGAGTCTTAGTAAGTCTGGTTTGTAAACTGTTTTTTGATTGGTTTGCAGACTCAAGCTACAATCAAGGCCAGAGCACATAATTTGAAATCGTGAAAACCCCATGGATTAACCCAGGGTATAGTGGAGTAGAGAGAGAGAGAGAGAGAGAGAGAGAGCGAGAGAGAGGGTTTAACCACTCGACACAAACTAGGTCATTTCGGTACTAACACATGGTTCAATTTTATTTTCATAATTCGATTGCGCGTATGGGTCTTTTAGCAGTGGGATTAACCCAGGGTTAGTGGAGTAGAACGGAATACTATGATATTTGGATTGTCTGTGTTGGATTCACATACTGTTTGATCTTTCTATATAAGCCATTAATCGAAAGACAGAGAGACAAAAAAAAGGGTTTAACGTCCACAATTTTCCATTTATCGTATCTTTGTAAATATGAAACTGAATTTTGGACTGATATTCCTTAAAGATTCAACTGTTACAATATTGTAGCTTGCAAGAGATTTCAAAATCCCTCAAATTATGATTACACTTCCCCTGTCCCTCCCTCCTCCTTCCAAGACTTCCTGATTGACAAATTAAGGACCCATCACCACACAATAAATTATATTCGTTGTTCAAGTCAGCAGATTTAGGTTACATATGTCTCACTGCTGTGTCATTACAATCACAATATGGCAATTTACCAACAAAGAGTGTGTAAGTCAGTGGATTACATCAATTATATGTGTCTCACTGCAGTGTCATTACAATTACCAGATGATCATTACATGACCATTACATGTGTCTCACTGCAGTACAATTGCATTTACCACATGACTATTGTTTGAATCAGCAGATTACATCAATTACATGTGTATCACTGCAGTATCATTACATTTACCACATGACCATTACATGAGTCTCATTGCAGTGCCATTACATTTACCTCACGGCTATTTACCAATGACCATTGCAAATGTCCAAATAACTGATTTGATTTTTATTTGTTTCAGACTTTAATAGTGTTCGCGGATTTCATCATAGTGACACTAGACACATGTACTGGATTAGCTGGGAAGATTTTTATGGGTAGATCCCACACCATGGTTTCTACATTAATATTAGCGGGTCCACGCCAACTCGAGAACTCTTCACCAATCTCCATTAACTCCGCTGGGTCTAATGGTTCACATAATGTCACAAACTCAAAATGTAATCGCCATCGTAAACACACTGAAAAATATGAAATTAAAACCAAATTATCATGCATACATTGTGCATTTAATAGAAAGGAATAAGGCTGAAGCTCTACAGAATTATTGACCTTTAAGCACTCTTAATTTTTTGTTGAAAAAAAAAGAGAGAGAGAGAGCGAGAGCATAGGGATCTTTAGCAGTGCAAGGGGGGATCACGTGGCTAAGTGGGTAAGACGCTAGCTCGCTAGCCTGGAGGTCGGTGTTCGATCCCTGCATTGGCCGAGAAAGTTCATCCAGATTTTCCGGCGTGATTCTCCCTTGTCAGTGATGCAGGACGGAGGGGCTGACAAGGAAAGCTGTCTAGTCGTTCGGATGGGACAAAAAACCGAGGTCCCGTGTACACATTGGCGTGCACGTAAAAGATCCCTTGGCAGTTGGAATTCGATATAAGAGTAGGCCGTAGTGCCGCTGTCCGGGCAAAATTTCCCTCATAGCACACTGTATGGCGTATGCCCGTCTTCATTAGCCCAGCTTAGGAGCAGAACAGTAGGACGTTAAACTCCATTTCATTTCATTTCATTTAGCAGTGCAAGGAAACCAGAGGATCCGGAGAAAATCCACTAGGTTGGAAAGGTGACCCTACTCCTTGTCACATACAACCGGGGAATAGAAACCACACCAGTTGACTCAATGACAGACTTTATGATACAACACGCACTCGCTAACCATTCGGCCATCCAACCCCCGAAAACAAATAACAATCAGAATATTTCTGCTGAACACCTATACCTGTAATAGAGGTGTAAATATTATTACCTATATCTGTAATAAAACCAGGTGAAGCTGTAAGAGGTATAGGTATAGACATATGAGTCTCATCTACATGTAAACACATCTCTTGGTGTTTAACATATGATGTAATGGCCGAACCTTGACTCATCTTCTGACGACATTCTTCTGATATCTGTTCCTCGCTTTGTAATGTGACAGAATACTGGAAATAGAAATAATTTCACAATTAACTAGGTCATTTCGGGACTAACATATGGTTTAATTTTTTATTTCAATAATTCGCTTGCACATAAGTGTCTTTAGCATTATGGTGATGTCATCATAGAGCATGCACACATTATAGTGATGTCATTATAGAACATGCACACAGTATGGTAATGTCATTATAGAACATACACACAGTATGGTGATGTCATTTAACAAGCACCAGATAATCAATTTTGAGAGAGAGGAGGATTGAGAGAGAGAAATGGGGTTTAACGTCCAGTCCAGTCGATAATTTGCTTGAGCTTAGGGGTCTTTAGCAGTGGAAGGAAACCGGAGGACCCTGAGAAAACCCACGAGTTTGGACAGAATACCCTACGTCCTTGTCACATACAAGCTGGGAATCGAAACCACAGCAGTTGACTCAATGACAGACCTTATGATCTAACGTGCATGTGTTTAAACATTTGCCCACCCAAAACCCTACCTGTAATTAATATTCTCTAACTTACATGTTGTACCTATACACATGGTATTGAACTTACCTGTACACAAGGTATTGTTCCATCTTTAAAATCAAAAACCCCGACGATATCATCCCCTAATTTAAACGCCTGTTTAAATAATAATAATTTGGCTACACGACCTTGTGAATTTGTTATATTGTATGAATCTGAAATAACAAATATTCTAATGCAGGATGTGTTATGTTCGGAGTCTAAAAAGAAAGACAAAATTGAAATTTTATATATTTTTCAAACAGGTGTGTACCATCCTCTGTATCTCCTATTTCGTTTCGTTTTTATAGTTCAAAATTTCGATTTTACTTGTCTTTACTACACTTGGATCTGGAAGCGTTGTTATTTAACTTGTGTTCTGCTTGAAATAAGGGGTCAGCCAATCGAAAGGTCTGTCGAATCGAGCGTTTGACCTTTTTTGCGCGGAACTATGGGTAGACATTAGCAGCAATAGAAATCAAAACAAAGCAAAAGTAGATAAAAAAATACATGACGGTCGCTCATTGGTTAATCGAATGACTGAGGTAATCGGGTCAAATGTCGCTTGCTTGGTACCTGACGTCATAGAACGTGAACTCCCACTATAACTTGTTAGATCTACATGGAGTGTAGGCCATCGAAAGTATAAAAAACGAAACGAAATATAGATCTATATTTTAATTAGATTGTCGGTATCCCCAGTGTACTCATTCCGTTCTATCCACTATCCTCCGTTTCCTCAGTGGTCTCATTCCGTTCTATCCACTATACCCTGGGTTAGGGTTATTCACGATTTCAAATTATCTACCCTTGATCGTAGCTTGACCCTACGAACCAATCAAAAAAGAGTTTACAAACTAGTCTTAGCTTCACTGTTTATGTTTTATTGTTCACAACAATATAGTGGCTTGATCGCTCAATGAGAAAGTTTGCTAGAAATTTAATACAACACAAGTGACATGCACACAAAAAAGATTCCCTAAAACATCTTTTTGATGGGAGAGATGTTTTTTTGTCAGTTTTTATTTATTTAACAATTTTTTTGATTGACCGATAAAAATAGCACAATGATCAAGGGCAGATAATTTAAGAGAGCAAGAGAGAGATATGGGGTTTAACTTCCACTCAACACAGACTAGGTCATTTCCAGACTATTATATGGTTCAATTTTATTTCAATAATTTGCTTGCGCTTAGGGGTCTTTAGCAGTGGGAGGAAACCGAAGGACCCAGAGAAAACCCACGAGGTTGGACAGGTGAATCGAAACCAGCCAACTTGACTCAATGACAGACCTTATGATACAGAAGATAGCAATAAAAGAATTATGTAAAATAACATCTGTAAAATAGCAATCTGTGAAAATTTGAGTCCCAACAACCATTTCTCACTTACATACTTCTGGAAAAACAATTACTGTTTTATTTAGGCGATGTTTTGAAAGTGTTAAGAGAATACTCTTCGAAACGCCGCCCAAATAAATCAGTCATTGTTCTTCCATAAGTATGTGTTAATAATTTCTCACTTTAACAGAAAGCAGTTTAAACTTTAAACTTACGTGGTGATTTTCTTGCTGTAACAGTTGCCATGACTTGTGTAGCGATATCTAATATAGTATTCTCTTTTTGTTTAGGTCGTAAGAATGGATTACTTGGTGCCACTTCATCAGTTTCATTATAAACACTCAGATCATTCAATCCTGTAAAATATAAATATCGTCAATCAATCAAATTATTCTGCTTTAATCGACAATATTGGTGTCAGTCATTATTACATATGTGATAGAACTGGTTAAACACGTTCCAAATATAATTTAACACGTCATGATCATAAAACCTGACACCACAATTGCCAAATAGCAGATGAATACTCAGTCCGATTGTAGACTAAGCATGCATGTCTGGACGAGTTCCAAATTATGCTATCTAATACTAGGAAAGCTTAGTATGTATATCACACAATTCAACAACCCAGTCCGGTTATCCAAATAATTCCCACTTGTTTATATTATTTTAAACGACACAGTCAAATGGGTTGGGAGCCTTAGAGTCTATACAAATAAGCATTTTATAACGGCAATTATTTAGCCGTGTCTATGTTCACCATTAAACGGAAGCAGTTGCTCTGGTGATACAGTACTGCGCAGGTCCATCCAAGATCCCTTTTTGTTCTCCGGTTCTCGACGACAATATAAAGGGAACATCCGCCCAATTTCATTTAAACCTGACGAGTTTGAAATGAACGAAACTATTCGCTTCTATGAGAGAAATCTGGGATTGATACTCGCCACTCATAGATTTATAATTTTATGAAACACAATCCAATTATCTGCGGGATATAAATTCCTTATGTGGATTCAATTGAATTTAAAAGAGGCCCATCAAAAGATCTCAGGGAAGATTATAGGTGGCGCTGGTTTGTTTTTGATGATATCCCATGGATCTGTCTTCGAGAAATAAACATACCATATAAGACTAAAACTCTGAATGGAATACGTAATAATTTGGTTGGTTGCTGAAATCTCTGGGTACCAATAATAATTTTATACGAGTATTTGACGGCCTGTCCTCGGTAAGATGGCGGAGAATCAGTCGGGATAGCATCTTCAAATTTAACTGAAAAATAAAATAGTACATTTTAAACTTACATAGTCATATCTCAAAACATATCATTTAGGTAGATTTTCTTCTTTCTTCATTGAGGGGTTAAGTGACGGAATGGTTACCGCGTGCACATTGGATCACAAGGTCTGTCATTGAGTCAAGTGGCGTGGTTTCAATTCCCCGCTTGTACGAGACAACCTCTGGGTTTTCTCTGGGTCCTCCTGTTTCCTTCCACTAAGTTCCACTGCTAAAGACCCCTAGGCGCAAGCGAATTATTCAATTATTGAAATAAAATTGAACCATATGGTAGTCCAGAAATAACCTAGTTTGTGTTGAGTGCACATTAAACCCTATTTCTCTCTCTCTCTCTAGACTTCATCATCAACATCCTGTGCCCTTGTATAGCAAAAACTAATTCAAATTTGTTTCCATGGAAACAGAAATTTCTATTTAGCAGAAGGCACTGGTATATAAGATATAACTTACATGATTTTGTTTGTCCTGCCGTTAGGGTCAAATCACAGAAGAGTATTTTAGGTTTTGTTGATAAAACAGTCAATCCTCGTTCACCTTAAATATAAATAGATTTCATGAAAAAAAAGATCAATGAAAAATTATATATTGGATTAATTTGTAATTGAACTGGAATATACAGGTGACAATACAATGAGAGACAGACAGAGAGAGAGAGAGAGAGACAGAGAGAGAGAGAGAGAGAGAGAGAGAGAGATGGGGTTTAACGTCCACCCGACACAAACTAGGTCATTTCGGGACTAACATGGTTTATTTTTATTTCAATAATTCGCTTGCGTGTAGGGGTCTTTAGCAGTAGGAGGAAACCTACTCCTTGTCACGTACAACCAGGGATTCGAAACCACGCCAGTTGACTCAATGACAGGCCTCATGATACAGCAGTACATGCTAACCATTCGACCATCCAACCTCCCTTCCACACATAGCCATAGAAATAAATATTTCAATATGTTTGTCGAAAAATGTATTATTTTAGATCAATCTGATTAAATTTCGTTTCGTTTTACTTGTCTTTACTACACTAGGATCTAGAAGAGTTGTTATATAACCTGCATTCTGGATGATGTGAGGGATTAGCCAATGAAACGGTCTGTTACGGCAAGTTTTCGGCATGGAAATTTTGGAATAGTGTCCCAGCCCTATTTTTTGACCTAAAAGATAGACTGTACTAAATTGTACTAAATCAGTTGTTGCAATTACTGAATGACATTGATTTAGTGAGATTTATTAATACTTATAAAACCAGTGAATGCATGGAATACATTACAACAACCTGGGTGGTTATTACATTAAACCAGCGGCTGCCAGGCAGAATACGCCCACATTTTCGAGAGATGGATAGAGAACAAGCTAAAAAGAAAGTGATTTTTCCTACAATCAGGGGTCATAATTTAGGAAGTTACGGTCCGATATGCGCGAATAACGAAAGTAACCAAGATCTTTGGGTTTTAAACTTACATTTCAAGTTTCAACAAAATCAGATAAAAATTGTGATCTCTATAGGGTCTACAACCTTGATATACCATACTTTTACGCTATTTGAGAACGAACGGCGGCCATTTTGTCTGTCAGTTTTGGGCCGATTTTCACGAAATTCGAATTCAGTCGTCCTTGGAGTGTAACGGTGATATAATAATACGTTTTTTTAAATCGGATAGTCCTTCGAATGAAACGAAAAAACAAGGTCCCATGTATACATTGGAATGCACGTAAAAGATACCTTGGCAGTTGGAATTCGATATAAGAGTAGGCGATAGTGCCGTTGCCTGGGCAAAATTTCCCTCATAGCACACTGTATGGCGTATGCCCGTCTTCATTAGTCCAGGTTAGGAGCAGAACAGTAGGACGTTAAACCCTATTTCATTTCATTTCATTTGTTACATAGGGAGCAGCAGAGAATGATCGAATTTTGAATTCGTTATTTACGATATGGAATTGAACAATTTTTGGACTGATATTCCTATTCGAGATTCAAGGATTTCTATAACGCTAAAGGCATGCAGAGGATCTTTAACGGCATCCTCACCTTTGTTGGGTACAAAAGACGTATCACAGCCAGTAGAAGAAACATCAGCTGTTGATGGTAGAGGTCCTCGTGGCAATAAAACACGTGACTCACTGACAGTACACTGACATATAATTTGTACGCTAGCCCAAGCTAACGTGACTCTGTTATTGTCTCTAGGCGACCTGTAATAAAGTTAAACAAAAATATCAAAACATTAATTTTCAAAATTCAGTATCAATTCAAGAGCTAAATGGATTTAAATAAGGCATTACCATCAATAGGTATATTTCAATATACAAAATGAACCTTTCGATAAATAAACACTGCAGTGAAATAGGGATTAAAACATAGAGAAATTGCCGGTCTACGACTATGTTTTTCACATAAGATCACTAGCAATTCACTTCATTTTTCACTGAATCATACTTGTATATTGTACAAATAATCGCCTTACGCCATAAATATTTCATCAATTCGTCACTTTTCTGGCGAACCGGCGAATCTGAAATATTTAAGTATTGAGAATTGTGCGTTTGAAATTGGCACTCTGTTGTTATCTCGATGTCCATCAAATAATAACGTTTATGTAAATGACGTTCCGTGTCCTGATGTATATGTATGAAATATTAAATCATAAATAAATTTTAATATTTGATGGCTACAGAGATAACAACAGAATGCAAATTTCAAACGCATAATTCTTAATACATAAAAATTTCAGATTCGCCAGAAAAGCGACGAATTTCTAAACTCCTAGTCAAGATTAACACAACATAAATCATTCTTTCATGTGTAATTCAATTTATAATACTCTTGTAGACAAAGTGCTCAAAAAATCACATTTCTGTATTCAGCGTTTTGTCTACAAGTATTGTTATATATCCATTACTCACTCTGTACGACCTGTATTTGATGGTGGACCAGGATGATGGAACGATATCTCACAGTGAATAGTCTCCCCTGCCAAGAAGACAGGACCTCTCGATAAATTAGCCAATACTTCAACCATTATTGTTTATTCTACTGGCAACCTATCATACTCTCTTAGTCTTCAGTTTATTATCTGAAATACAATGAAGAAGATACAATGAACTTAATTCTATACCAAAATAAATAATGACAAATTTATTTGCAAATTATATTTTACAGAGTTACATCGCCTATGCAAATCTTTGTGAATACCAATGTCTTGTTATCACCAATCAAAACTATGCCAGCTGACTCATGATACAACGCACACACGCTAATCATTTGGCCATCTCCTCCCCCCCCCCCCCCCCCCGGATGGTTAAGAGTAATGCAAGGTAAGAGAATTTTGCCCAGGTAGCAGCATTTCAACATACTCTTCTTCAATTTCGATTTCCAACATATGGATCTTTTACGTGCACACCATTATGTACACTTATGGAGAGAGAGAGAGAAATGGGGTTTAACGTCCACTCAACACAGACTAGGTCATTTCGGGACCAACACATGGTTCAATTTTATTTCAATAATTCGCTTGCGCGTAGGGGTCTTTAGCAGTGGATGGAAACCGGGGGACCCGGAGAAAACTCACGAGGTTGGACAGGCATCCTACTCCTTGTCACATACAACAGGGGGTACACTTTGAACCTCAGCTTTTTGTCAATTCATAACGAGAGAAATGGAGAGATAGGGTTTAACACCCACTCAACACAAACTAGGTCATTTCGGGACTAACATATGGTTCAATTTTATTTCAATAATTATTAGTATTATATAGGGATCGTAATACAACATATTCTGTTGACACACACTTTGTGGCTTGTATGTTAGTACATTTATTTTTTTCTAGACTGACAACTTTTCAGAGATTGAGATCAATAAATTTCTTAATATTCATTCAAGTATTCCTACTGTGTCTATTTTTAATCACACTGATCGTTAACTTATGAGAGGTGGGATTGAGATAGATTATATAAATTCCTTAATGTTCATTTAAGCCTTCAAATGGTCTCCCTTCTTTATCTATATTTTTAAGAGAACCAATTATTGAATTAAGGGTTGAACATATATAATTAAATATTAAACTCAATAATGACCATTTCTTACAATAAATTTAATGAACGTTGCTATATGAATTTGGAATAGAATTCAATGATTAATGGTTTTATTGTGCATATTGAAAAAAAAAATGGGAATTTTTCACTCAGGTAACTAAGTAAGCTTATTATTATTATGTTTTGTACAATCTGGACCGATTCAGTCATCATTGTCCAACCAATCTGTCAATTTTGTAAACCTTAGGCTAGCCTGTAGCCTACTGTGTAAGATAAGGGCGTTTTCGTTGCAGCCTGAAAATCAATACCTCAGATATTTCAGCAATGGATAATATCGATCGATAGAACCATTTATGTTGGGTGTAACTACATGTAAATAAGTTATGATCATTGAATTCCTCGCATCAATTGAAATTCTTCAGCTAATCGACGAAAACCAACGTCATCATATACTGATGTCGTAATTTGTTGACATTTCTGAACTTTTTTGTTTTAGTCATAAATACTAAAACATACCCCAACAGTTACATATACAGATTATCGATTATTTGAATCATAAAAAAGGTGAAAATGTAGTCAATGTACTACAGAATAATTAAGTTTTTCTTAACTAGGTCAATTGTAATATTTACGACAATCTAATATAGAACAATATGCCAATCTTTTCATTTCGCCTCAGAGAGCATTCTATCCGGATTTCCGAAAGAACAACGAACGTAATTGACAAATTAATAATTACCTCTGTAGAATTAATCTAGAAATTTCATAGAAATTAGAGAACATATTTTTTTCCATCTAAAAAAAAAAGCCCCCAAAAACCAAACCCTAAATTTTAATTTACCAACTATCATAAAAAAGTCGCGACCGGCTGGAGACCGGAAGTTACCTGGGTTATGAATAACAAATCAATTGTTGTTGTATTTAAATTGATTTACAGGTAGCAAGTAACTCAGTCAACCGAAAGACAGCGGGTTCAGGTCAGAAAAGGCAGTTACTATAGTTTTCACACGATTTGTGCAAAATGTCGCATGCACCTGCAGATGGAGGTCCCAGAACGCCGTCAGAGAAGATTGAAGGTGTTCCCGATTTTGGATGGCGTGTGAAACTTTCATACGAGTGCCAAGATAAAATGTCCCCCTTCTTCAAGCCAAGACTTTCACAAATTCCACAATATTTAGGTCTCAGCATGAGGTTTGTATTGTTCATTGTTATTTTTCTTTAAATTTTTTGAAGGTGTTGAAAAATAGAAATTTAGGTGTGAAATTCAGTGTGCATGGTCACTTCTATCCTTACTACTGTTGTTACCATTTGTTCATTGTAGAACTTTATGCAAATTCTTAAAATTACACATATAAGTGGGTATGCACTGCCCTTTCTACTAACCAGCTGCAAGTTCCCAGTCATGTTTTGTTTGCAGAGGACCTTGCAGCTGAATTTGTGTGAAATCATTCTCCTTATATGATTTCCATGCTCTATTTCATATCATTGAGCATTGACAAAATGGTCCAAAGTAACTATGCATGTGTATGCTACTTACAGAATGATGTCCTGCAGGCTATACATGTATATGAATTAGTTCAGCTCTGAACGTTGGTCTCATTACACTCGGCCTCTACGTTCAGGAACTCTCCTATTGAATCCTTGTCAAAATTCCAATGGCTTCCCAGTTAATTTTACTGGGCAACTTTTTACTGCTAAACGGTCGCGTGTCAGTCCCTGTGAACGCCTGAACAATATAAATGAACATCTTAGTGAGAAAATAAGACCTTGCTTACCTCGCTAGAGTCAGTATGAGCGACACAACACGCTGTTAAAAAATACGTCTCCGTCTTCTAACCGACTTAGCGGACTTCATTGAAAGGGTAATGCACAAAGTTACGAACTCGGCCATATAAGATGAAACGAAATTTAGGTAATTCTGTGAGAAAAAAATTGACAGCGTCATACCCACTTAGCCACCATGGCTCCAAATGCATATATACACATGTAGGACAGGGGATCACGTGGGTAAGATGCTGGCTCGCTAGCCTGGAGGTCGGGTGTTCGATCCCTGCATTGGCCAAGAAAGTTCATCCAGATTTTCCGGCGTGGTTCCCCCTTGTCAGTGATGCAGGACGGAGGGCCTGACAAGGACCGCTGTCTAGTCCTTCGGATGAGACGAAAAACCAAGGTCCCGTGTATACATTGGAATGCACGTAAAAGATCCCTTGGCAGTTGGAATTCGATATAAGAGTAGGCAATAGTGCCGCTGCCCAGGCAAAATTTCCTCATAGCACACTGTATGGTGTATGCCCGTCTTCATTAGCCCAGCATAGGAGCAGAACAGTAGGACGTTAAACCCCATTTCATTTCATTTGTACTGGTAGTGTTAGAAGCGAAGCCATATTGTATAGAGTATAAGAAAGTATTTGGTCATATATCACCATACTTCCCGCAGTGTTTCGTTTGATTACAGCTAATCCCACTAAACACTGCTTTAACGAAAGCAAATTTCTGTTCCAAATTATAACTGGCCAATAGTCTGATTAACAACCAATAGCTAACTGCGTAACAATTTGATTACGCTTTAAAAATAGCTCCACATTGGACCAAATATGTTTACATAACATTATGTCATGACTCACGATTTTATTATGCCCAATTAACCAGTGCATAGCAGAATATTGCAGAAAAACTAATTTTGTGACAAACGAGGCTATCAACATTGATACAATTTAAACAATACTGTTTCGAGACGAGCATACTTTCACCGTTTTTAATACCTTAAATCACTGTCAAAAGTTTTAGGGAAGACCCCAGATTAAACGAAGTGCTGTCATGTTGCTGTACTTGGGATAGATTTGATTGAACAGGAAGAATAGACTCACTCCCTCAAAAGCTCAAGTATTGGAAGCCAATCCAGCAAAGGGCTGAGAGGGATTTCTCGGGCCATTGCTTCAGGAATATGTATGTCACTAGTCATGTGAGTTCGTACGAGAGTGGTTGGGTTCTTTCTGTTAAAGATATGTAAGATTTAGATAAAGAGCTGGCCGTTCTTGCTATAATATTAAAATAGATAATGCAAAATGAATATATTGAAAATTTCATTCAGATTTCTTTAGTTTGTGCAAAGTTATCAATAATGGTAGTTTTGACAAGATGTGTGCATTGTTCGTAACCACCGTACTGGTCATTCGAGTCTTAGCCTTGCTATAATATTTCAAAATAGATAATGCAAAATGAATATATTGAAAATTTCATTCAGATTTCATTAGTTTGTGCAAAGTTATCAATAATGGTAGTTTTGACAAGATGTGTGCATTGTTCGTAACCACCGCACTGGTCATTCGAGTCTTAGCCTCGTTTTTCTTTTTTTAAATTAAATCATTAAATGGCTGAACCATTCTAATCTACTTAAAAACAGAGCTATTGGATGGCATTGAGAGTTGATTATGGTCTTTTCATGTTAATAAATGTCTAATTAATAATTTATATAACATTTCAGGCCTAAAGAAAGACCTGAAATAGGCAGATTTAGCTCTTACATAATGTATGTTTAAGGTCCAAATAACTTTGACATTTGGAATTTGAAGAAGCGTTAGCATGGTACCTGTCTTCATTCCCTTGGGCGTGGTCTTCAGTTGGATATGTAGATCTGTCATTGAGTCAACCTGCATAGTTTCGATTCCCCGGTTGTACGTGACAAGAAGTAGGGTCGCCTATCCAACGTCGTTGGTTTTCTCTGGGTCCTCCAGTTTCCTCCCATTGCTAAAGACCCCTACACGCAAGCGAATTATTGAAATAAATTTGAACCATGTGTTAGTAACGAAATGACATAGTTTGTGTGGGGTGGACCTTAAACCTCTCTCTCTCTCTTTTTCTCTGTCATTGAGTCAAGTGGCCTGGTTTCGATTCCACGCTTGAACGTGGCAAGGAGTAGGGTCACCTCTCCAGCAGGGTTGCCTTCCCAACCTTGTGGGGTTTTCTCCAGGTCTTCTCTCTCTCTCAAACACATTGGTTCCTTTGCTGCAGAAAAGTAGGACATTCCACCCCATTTCTTGTGAATTATGAGTCAGCTAGGTTTATAATAAGTTAAAGTGTTATGATATATACTAGTAGTATTATGATTATTATGTTAATAACTATAATACCCAGCTGGTACTGTGAATTACGTGTATATCAGGGATAATCAATATTAACTTACAGATATATTAAACACATATTGATATTGATTTACATTTATAATATATCATTATAATTTTTTATTAAATATGGTGAAAGGCCAGCATTTTTATGATGAACTTGTTGTGTGACACTATGGTGCTGTTAAATAGATGAATTAACCCTTGACATCCATGTTGTGTATATATAATCAATTAACTCTGAAACACTTCGCCCATTTGTTTAACCACTTCTATATATTAAACAGAGCACCTTTCATAGAATTAAAATAACCCCTATAGTATTTTTACTATATGAAATTCACGCATTCTAAATCAATAAGTTTATTGCATTGAGCTAATACCAAGCCGATTGTTGAATGGCTGTTTTTTTGTGTGAATAAAATGGAGACTGACTGTCTATACGCTTTACCTGGTCATGTTAACCAGTCAAGTTCATTGACTTCAGTTTACATCGATTATGAAGGGGGCTTGGATGGTCGAAATGGTTAGCACGTGCGTGCTGTATCATAAGGCCTGTCATTGAGTCAACTGGCCTTGTTTCAAATCCCCGGTTGTACGTGACAAGGAGTAGGGTCGCCTTTCCAACCTCAGGGGTTTTCTCCAGGTTCTCCAGTTCCCCCCCACTGCTAAAAACCCCTATGCGCAAGGGAATTATTGAAATAAAATTAAACCATATGTTAGTCCCGAAATGACCTAGTTTGTGTCGAGTGGAAGTTAAACCCCATTTCTCTCTCTCTCTCTCTCTCTCCCTCTCTATTATGAAAATATTGTACTGGCAACTTTGTATAATTTCTAAACCTTTGATTGAAAGAAAAGAAAATGTCACTGGTATATAGAGAATCTCCTACAAGTCCTTTTTGATATCAAAAAATATCAACACAAGTCGATAAAGTAAAAAAAAAGAGGCTCTGTCGATTTTTTTTTTTATCGACGATTGTTGATATTTTTTGATATCAAAAAGGACGAGTAAAAGATTTTATATATCACCCAATCCTTTCTTACATGCACAAATAAATAAATATAATTCTTTGCTATAGACTTCAATTTTACTGAACTTGATTACATTACGGCATAGTGATACATCATATTTTGACAGCAGTTCAACCATTGCAAAGTCCTTTATATTGATCTAGTGTTTCCATCAAGGTAAATTAAATAAAAAAATTCATTTTTAATAAAAAAAGAAGTTACTTTTAATCCAAAATGAACTGTTCTTTGAAAATACAAATATAGTTCCTTTTTAACTGACCAATCAAATTCATGTAAAGCGATATCATGAAATTTATCACACAAGCGATATCTACTGTAGAATGTATTATTGGGTGATAAATGCATTTATTATTGTTGTTATTCTGTACTTACATGTACATAGCCCCACTTCCACAATATTGTGCTCCAGTGTCACTGTAACCTGGGTATTATTTAATCTTGTGTATCTAGCACTAATTTCTTTCACATTCATTTAGTATCAAATCTTTGTTTGAAATTAATAAAAATCATTTAAAATCACCCCAAATCATCTAATTTGTACTTGATATCTAGTTTAAAGATTACTAATTAATTTTGATAATGAGTGTCCAATTTACAAGTGTTTAATTTTCTGACCACTGTTCAAAAATTAATCATTATACATCAATAATCAATTGGGTTGTTTATTTTTTATCAGTGATCAAGAAATGCAACACTTATCTCTTATATAATACAGGGGTTGGATGGCCGAATGGTTAGCACGCGCGTGCTGTGTCATAAAGGCCTGTCATTGAGTTTACTGGCGTGGTTTTGAATCCCCGGTTGTACGTGACAAGGAGTAGGGTCGCCTCTCCAACCTCGTGGGTTTTCTCCGGGTCCTCCGGTTTCCTCCCACTGCTAAAGACCCCCTATGCACAAGCGACATATGGACATATGTTAGTCCCAAAATGACCTAGTTTGTGTCGAGTCGAGTGGACGTTAAACCCCATTTCTCTCTCTCTCTATTATAATACCTCTTTAAATACTAATAGTGAAAATTTTCTGTTTTGCTTTGCAAGTGGAGGGAGACACGGTGGCTAAGTGGGTAAGATGTTCGATCCCTGCATTGGCCGAGAATGTCAATCAGGATTTGCCGACGTGGTTTCCCCTTGTCAGTGATACAGGAAGTAGGACAGCTGTCTAGTCATTCAGATGGGACAAAAAACCAAGGTCCTGTGTATACATTGGCGTACACGCAAAAGATCCCTTAGCAGTTGGAATTCGATGTAAGAGTAAGCCCTCATTGCACACTATTTGGTTTCTTCCTTAGCCCAGAAAAATAGGAGGTAAACCCCATGTCATTCCATTTAGACATAAGGATTAAATTCCCCAAAATAGATTTCAAAATAATAAAATGCAAATTTTGAGATCAACTTAAAGTTATATGTCGTCGGTGAAGTGTCAAAAGGGTGTATCCCGGGAATTTAGTCAAATACACTTTTTTGCATTTTTAAAATCTCCCAATTAATATGCACATTTCTGTCTAAGCTGTGTATCTCTACGCCAATTAGAACTGTTCTGGGTATCATGTGTCCAAATGTTGTATCTTGATTTGTGGAAATTTTGAAATGCAAAAGGTTCTCTTTCTTAATCTTTAGAAATTCTTAGATACACCCTTTTGACACTTCACTAACTTGAATGATTCTACTATTTCCAGGTACAGTGTTATGTGGGCCAAGAAGAAAAAGCAAGGAAAGAAACCGTTTATAGATCATTTGAATCCCTTGCCTCATAACCCTATATATGGTAACAATATTTTCTTTTATTTTAACAACATTAAACATGCATTATGTAAGATTTCTATAAAGAGCTGACAGTTCTCACTATAATAGTTAAAAAAATAGATAATGAAACAGGGAATATATTGAAAATTTCAATCATTACCAATGGTAAAATTTTCATTTTGTCTTAAATATTAGATATCAGAAGCCAATTTTTCCACGTAAGATCACAACATCAATGTTGATTTACATGTAAATTGACAAATAATTTGTGTTTTCAATGTCAAAGACTTTGGATGATATCGAGTTAGAGACTTGGCATGTGATTGTTGCGATTGTAGGTTAGGGTTAGTGTAAGCATTGGGGCTAGCTCCAGGGTTAGGGTTGGGATTAGCGCTAGCCCTGTTTACATCTTGTGACCTTGGACCAAACTTGAAGTCATCCTTATCAAATAGGTCTAACCGTTCATTGGCCATATTGATATAGTCACCTGTTGAACCAGAGGCCGTAGGCCGAGGTGTTAAACTTGTTAACGAATGAAGCATGCTATAAATGACTTGTAACATTGACACCTGCTCAACATGCTTGTTGTTATTGTATATTGGTGGAAGTGGACGTTTAACCCCAGAAACGACGACGACGCATTTTCAATGTGGAAGACTTTGGATGATATTTAGTTGGAGACTTAGCTACTTTAAATATCCATAATATTGTGTTCAACTCGAGGAATGTTAAAAACTCCTACTCCTTTCTTTTCTATTATTATGATTACAATTATCTCTTGGTTAATGTATTATTCAGGGTGTCCTATAGGAGGTATTGGTTGTGGAACTATAGGACGTGGCTATCGTGGAGAATTCTGTCGGTTTCAAATGATACCAGGGATATATAGACATAATACGGTCGATGCCAATCAGGTAAATATTTGTAATTCAAATAGTATTTGTAATTCAAATAGTATTTGTAATTCAAATAGTATTTGTAATTCAAATAATATTTGTATTACAAATAATATTTGTATTTGTAATTCAAATAATATTTGTAATTCAAATAATATTTGTAATTCAAATTCAAATAATATTTGTAATTCAAATTCAAATAATATTTGTAATTCAAATAATATTTGTAATTCAAATAATATTTGTAATTCAAATAATGTTTGTAATTCAAATAATATCTGTAATTCAAATAATATTTGTATTTGTAAGTCAAATAATATTTGTAAGTCAAATAGTATTTAGTCAAATAATATTTGTAAGTCAAATAATGTTTGTAAGTCAAATAATGTTTGTAAGTCAAATAATGTTTGTAAGTCAAATAATATTTGTAAGTCAAATAATGTTTGTAATTTCAACAATGTTTGTAATTTAAAAGATATTTGTAATTCAAATAAAATAGTATTTGTAATTTAAATAATATTTATAATTTAAACGATATTTGTAATTTGAACGATATTTGTAGAGCAAATAATAATTGTAATTCAAATGATATTTGTAATGATTTGTTATTCAAAATACAAACAGTATTTGAACATAATTTGTACTTCAAACACAATTTGTACTTCAGGCACAATTTGTACTTCATCCACTATTTGTAATTCAACCACTATTTGTAGTTTTTTTTGTAATTCAAACACTATTTGTTATTTGTTTGTAATTGAAAAATTGTTTGTAATTGAAAAATTGTTTGTAATTGAAAAATTGTTTGTAATTGAAAAATTGTTTGTAATTTAAACAATGTTTGTTATTCAAACACAATTTTTAATTCAAACAAGTTTTTTATTTAAATAAAGTGATAAGCAATTTGAATGCTAGATGCTTATAAAATAAATGTGCAAGTAAGTAACGATTGTCATCAAATTTATTTAGGGCTTAAAGTAGGGAACAACGGTGTCATTTTTGGCTTGTTTACACATGTGTTTGTTTGTTGTTTCAGTTTATTGTTTGTATACGACGTAATAATGAGACAATTTATCAACAAGTATTATCATCACAAGTCAAGAAAGGGAAATCCCTAAAATCATGGTCGTGGGGATTCCCTGGTGGTATGGCAACCTATCATGCACTCTATCCTCGAGCGTGGACTGTTTATAATATTAAAAAACATAATGTTCGGTTAATTTGTCGTCAGATATCACCAATATACCCACACGAATATCAGGTTTGTTCATTTTTAATTTTAATACTTGTACCATTTAAGACCTTATCCTAGTAGCTCTCTTACTGGGTACCTGGGTAGCTCTGTAGCTCTCTACCGGGTTGGCTCTGTAAGTAGATCACCTGTATCCCAGTAGCTTCCTGCCTGGGTACCGGGGTAGCTCTGTAAGTAGATCACCTGTAATCCAGTAGCTCTCTGCCCAGAAGCCAGAGTTGCTCTGTAAGTAGATCAGCTGTATCCCTGTAGCTCTCTGCCCACGAGCCAGAGTAGCTCTTTAAGTAGCTTACTAACCAAGTTGTCCTTGGTTCTATTTTGGTGTTGTCCGAGAAAATTCAATAGTAATTCCCAGCCTGCTTTGCCATCATCACTTCCCCCGTTGTACGTGACAAGGAGTAGGGTCGCCTGTCCATCCTCTTGGGTTTTCTCTGGGTCCTCCGATTTCCTCCCACTGCTAAAGACCTCTACGTGCAAGCGAATTATCATACTGTCTGTCATTGAGTCAACTGCCGGGGTTTTGATTCCCGGTTGTATGTGACAAGGAGTAGGGTCACCTGTCCAACATCGTGAGTTTTCTCCGGGTCCTCCGTTTCCTCCCACTGCTAAAGACCCCTACGTGCAAGCGAAATATTGAAATAAAATTAAACCATATGTTAGTCCCGAAATTACCTAGTTTGTGTCGAGTTGACGTTAATCCCCATTTCTCTCTCTCTCTCTTATTTCGTATGACCTTTATGGATGAATTACATATTTCTCATTGCAGGAGACATGCTTACCTACTGCTGTATTTGTCTGGACAATAGAGAATAATAGTCCAGATGAACTAGACGTTAGTATAACGTTCACCTTCCAGAATGGTCAAGGTAGCAAGGAGGATAGTAATAAAGGAGTAACGAGTGAAGTGTTTAATGTAGGGGAGGTAACTGGTGTTTCAATAAAACAGACATTTAGAAGTATGGATTGTACATATGGTATCTCGGCTTCAGCTAAGGTACGTACATTTAATTTTTTGATACGCCAATCTGATTAAAATACAGATCTATATTTTGTTTCATTTTTTCTATATTTTCGATAGCCTACACTACATGAAGATCTGACCTGTTGTAGCGATAAGTCGCGTCAGAGGTCATACGAGCAACTTTTGATCCTATGACGTCAGACATTTGATTAACCAATCAGCATTGATGTTACTAGTGGATTACCCACAGTTCCATGCAAAACATGCCTAAAGCTCGCCGTAACAGACCATTTCATTAGCTATTCCCTCACATCATTCAGAACACCTCAATGATAACAACTCTTCCAGATCCTAGTATAGTAAAGACAAGTAAAACGAAATTTTGAACTATAAAAATGAAACGAAATAGGATCTGTGTTTTAACCAGATTGTTGATATGCCAATATATTAAAGGGACAATAACACTCTTGCTGGCTTGAAAGCTCCAGAAAATAAATAATATCTCTATCTAAGTACTAGATGTTTAAGTGTCTTGTTGTGTAAATTATCCATTACATCCTATTTTACTTGTCCAGAGGGTTCGAAAATATTTTTAAATCGAAGTTTCATTTGAAAAGGTTTACATTAGACGTTTCAAACCATTATGTTGAATTTTTCAAAATTTTTAAATAAGGTGTGTTAAGATGAAATTTGTATCATCAATTAATTGGAATATTGTAAAATAGTACAATTTGTTGACCAGAATAAAGATTGGGACATATTATTCAGTTACAACAAGAGTGGTATTAAGCCTTTAAAGATACATTGTCGCGAAAGTATTTATCGGCCGGTTGTTTCCAATAGAAGTATGGTAAATTCGGTATATACATGTATGGAAAGTGGAGACACCCAATCTTACTAGAAAAATACTGCATTACCCGAAAAACACCCATCTTTAATATATTGAGGTCAGTCGTAGCAATTGTGTTGTTCGTATCAAAACATATCATATCGTATCTGCATGTAGCAAATCGTGGACTCAATAGGGACAATCCACTGTAACCCAGGCATCGTTTAATTTCTTTCACATTCATTTAATATCCAATCTTTGTTTAAAAATTTGTAAAAACTGTTTAAAATCACCATAAATCATTTAATTTGTACTTCTGTCCAGTTTAAAGCTGACCATTCAATTTTGATAGTGAGTGTCCAATTTACAAGAGTTTAATTTCTCAATCATTGTTAAAAAATAAACAACCCAATTGATTAATGATGTATAATGATTAATTTTTGAACAGTGATCAGGAAATTAAATACTTGTAAATTGGACACTCATTATCAAAATTAATCAGTCAGTTTTAAACTGGACACATGTACAAATTAGATGATTTTTGGTGATTTTAAATGATTTTTGCGAATTTTTAAACAAAGATTTGATATTAAACGAATGTGAAAGAAATTAGTGCGAGATACACAAGATTAAACGATACCTGGGTTACAGTGATCGTATCATAACGTATCGCATGACAGTGTGAACCTAGCATAATACTTAGAAAATAGATAATGTAGATAGAATATGCTGAAAATTTCAGGCAAATTGCTCCATTCTGAACCAAGATATTAGCTTTTGAATTTTCGGCTAGCCTCGATCAACATTACTAAAGTCTGTACAATAAAAAACAAAGTCTTGATTATCCATTTTTACATATATCTATTTTTTAAACACTGTATTCCATTCTGCTAGCGATGGCATCAAGAGTTGGTTATGGTCTGGATAAGTTAATTAATGTCTAATTAATAATTTAGATAACATTTCAGGCCTACATAATGCATGTTTAAGTCAGTTATCAATGAGTCAAAGTTCGAAATATTCAATTTCATTTGACTATTTATAACCTAATTTAGGATGGTGTGGATATATCTACGGCCGTGAACTTTGACCCTCATGGTACTGGTGAGGATTTATGGTGTGATTTACATGAAGATGGTAAACTTGGTAATACACCAGGTAGGTTTGGTCATCTTCTGTAAATAGTTTTATTGTCCCCCGCCTTTCGAAGAAAGCAGGGGACTATTAAAATGGGTTCGTCGGTCTGTCTGTCCGTCCGTCTGTCTGTCCGTCACACTTTTTGGGACACAATAACTCTCCTTCTAATTGAGCTAGAATGTTCAAACTTGGTATGGGTGTTTATTAGGTCGAAACCTTGATGGATTTTGAAGATGAGCATTTTCTGCTTAGGGTAAGCAGAGATAAGCAATTTGATTGGTTGATGCTTTGGGACACGATAACTTTAGTTCTAATTAAGTGAGAGAGATGAAACTTGGTGTGTAGTTTCATCACAGCAATACCTTCACTAAGTTCGATAATGAACATTTTCTGCTGAGGGTAAGCAGAGCGATAAGCAATTTGATTGGTCTAGACTTTGGAACATAACAACTCTGCTTTTAATTGACGTAGAATGTTTAAACTTGATGTTGATGTTCGTTAGGTTGATTCTATCTGATAGAGAGAGATGAAACTTAGTGTATAGTTGACAATCAGTTTGATTGCTTGATACTTTTGAAAAAGATAAACATGCAATTAATTAATGTGTCATCTATTTATTTTCTGATTTTGGCGGGGGATATTAGCCTCACTGTTGGCTTGTTGTACATTATTTTGTTTGGCTAGGCATTCCGCAATCTCAATCCCAGATATAACTTGACCCTTTGTTTATCGCTGGTAAAACTCGCCGGCCATTAATCAGTGTGAAAACGGTTCCTAAGCTTCGACCCTAGTGGCTCCTCATTGGCAGGATTTGTTAGAATGAAATGCTGCTGATTTCTCGACAATCAGGCATCGATTCCTTGCATGAGTTACATATTAATGATCCTTAGAACATTTTCCACATGAAAAGTTCATTCGAAAATAACTGATTTGATGATTTACTGAGAACTATATTTAACACACAGTGTGAATGATTTGGCTAAATATGTGAAGAAATACGAGTTTGAGTCGCCATCTTTGATCTTTGAGAAGCGACCGACAGAAGGATACATCATGTGACATTCAAAATGATCGTCAAGTTTTACCAGAGATAAAGAAAGAGGGTAAACTTATCTCTGGTGTCGATTTTGAAATGTTGTTGATGTAGTTTGATATACAAAAATTAAAGATACATTATGGGAGATTAGATAAAGAGCTGGCAGTTCTCACTATAATAGTTAAACAAAATACTGTAAAGAGAATTTGCTGAAAATGTCAGTCAAATTGATCCACTATGAACCAAGATTTTAGCGATTGAATTTTCGGCCTAGCCTCGATCATCATTACTATAGTCGGTAGGATAAAATACATAGTCTCGATTATGCATTTCATGATTTAATTATGAATGGAAGTCGAACAGCAAATCGGAACCTAATCCAATAAAGATCGCAGGCTAGCGATGCCATCGAGAATTGATTATAGTCTGGATAAGTTAATTAATGTCTAATTAATAGTTTATATAAACATTTCAGACCTAAAGAAAGACCTGCAATAGGCAGATTTACCCCTTGCATAATATATGTTTAATATTAAAACTGTTGATCATCATAATCCACACTAAAATGTATCCATATTGATATTCAATTAAGAAATCAGGAGAACAATGGTAGTTAATTTTGGAATCAAAAAGAGGTCCATCGAAAGAGATTGTACACTTATAGGTGGCCTTTGTTTCATTTTATCACATATTTGTATATACTGAACAGAATTAAAGCATATTACGGCCTACTCTTATATTGGATTCCAACTTCCAAGGGAACAATTACGAGCACGTCAATGTGTACACATAACCTCAGTTTTTCGACCCATCAAATGACTAGACAACTGTCCTTGTCAGGCCCTCCGTCCTGCACCACTGACAAGGTAAACCACGCTGGACAATCTCGAACTTTCTCACCCAACAAATTTTGTTTAAGGAATTATTAATGTTTTGTTTACCAAGCCAACAGTATATACATGTATGAGTCTTAGTATAATGAATTATTAACGTTATTTCTTCTACAGTTGCGCCACCTGGTGGTGATAAAGGTAAAGATATAGGAGCAGCAGTCTGTGCTTCCTGTACCGTCCAACCCTCGTCATCACAGTCACTAGACTTCTCGTTAGTATGGGATATGCCTATTATACAATTCGGTGCTAAAGAACAATACTATGCAAGGTAAATAACGCTTATTGTTTAAACCAGTGGTTCTCAACCTTTTTTTGCCAACGGCACACCTTGGAACACATGAAAAAATAGCGGCACACCTGGCTAAATTTTGCAAAATAAAAACATGATAAGTCAGACGGAATACAACCGTAGACAGAGACTTGTCATAGACATATAGAATGACTCAAACTAAGTAAAGAAAAACACAGCTTATCAGTAGACACCAGTGAATACTCAATTGGGATCATGTGGTTTTTCGCATTTTCTTAGTGTGCCGTTCAAAATTTCGCGGAACACTGGTTGAGAATCACTGGTTTAAAGTTATAATTTCATATTTTCTAAGAAACTCAAAATTTAATTATTTTTTATGTCTTTTGCTCAATAGGTTGTCAACTCACTATTATCACTAGGTTATCTTTCTCACACTTAAAAATCTTCACACCGGAAATAATAACACAATTACCCCCCCCCCCCAATTACCTCCCTTGTTTTCCTATTCCCCACCATGGAATAGCTATCTTCAAACGTTTGAATTTGAAGTTGAAAATGATATTTTTGCCAATTTCTCAACTGGCAATAGTGAATTATAGGATTATAGGTAGGATTATAGATACCATCTATTTTAAGGCTTTATTTTAATACATTTAAAAATATAACTTAAAAATATGAAATGGTGAAGGGTGATTTTCCTCTGTTCAATCTTCGATGATGAGCATTTCTACTTTGAACAATATTCACATCTGTTGGAACAGTTACACAATAGCTTTGCTTTTAATGGAGGTAAATGCTCATTAGGTGAATGTGTTGACTGAATTCTATGACAAGTACTTTGATTTGTTGATGCTTTGGAAAATGATGACTTTGATTCTAATGGCTTTAAGAGTGATAAACAGTTTGAATGCCTGGTTTTGTATGATGGGATGAATGTATATTCTTGTTTTGCTATATATAGCATTCAGACGCAGAACAATTGACTGTCACCCATGCAACGGTGAGACCACTTCTAGACTGCATCACCTGGGACGATTTCTCCAATTTCTAATCAGCTGGGGTTGGATGGCTGAATGGTCAGCATGTGCGCATTGTGTCATAAAGCCTGTCACTGAGTCAACTGGCGGGGTTTCGATTACCCGGTTGTATGTGACAAGGAGTAGGGTCGCCTGTCCAACCTCGTGCGTTTTTTCCGGGTCCTCCGGTTTCCTCCCACTGCTAAAGACCCCTATGCGCAAGCGAAGTATTGAAATAAAATTGAACCATATGTTAGTCCCGAGTGGACGTTAAACCCCATTTCTCTTTCTCTCTCTCTCTCCAATTTCATATCGGCGGGGGTTGGATGGCTGAATGGTTAGCGTATGCGCATTGTATCTTAAGGTCTGTCATTGAGTCAACTGGCGTGGATTCGATACCCTGATTGTACGTGACAAGGATTAGGGTCACCTGTTCAACCTCATGGGTTTTCTCCAGGTCCTCTAGCTTCCTCCCACTGCTAAAAACCCCTAAAGACCCCTAAACGCAATTATTGAAATAGAATTGAACCATATGTTAGTCCCGAAATGACCCCCTCTCTCTCTCTTTCTCTCTCTTCAAATGCTAATCAGATTTTACATTACAGTATTTATAGGGGACCCTTTAGGACTAAATCTTATTGTTGAGCTATCCATTGCGATAGTTCTTTAGATGTGAATCCAGTTTGATCCATTGGGATCAGTCTTGAAAAGCTCAATTATTTGTGTCATAGCAATTCTACATGTGTAATTTAGATGTAGGGAAAAAAAGAATGAAATGGCTGTTTCGTTATAACGCCTGTTTTATTATGTAAATTTTTCCTTTCTAAATGTCGTATAAAGATTTGTTTCGATTTTTTAATGACAGGCGTTATACTCGATGGTTTGGTACGGAGGGTAAAGCTGCTCCTAACTTATGTAAACATGCCTTAAACAGATATCCAGTATGGGAGAAAGAAATAATCAAATGGCAGGATCCCATCCTTAATGCAAGGTTCGTAGAAATATTTATTCATTTCATTTCTTAGAGAGGGTAATATCAGTAGAAACTAATAGCCGGTGCTCGATTGTTAATAAGGAAAGCCCCGTATTGACATAATTTCAATCAAGTGATAAGGAATTCAGTCCTGTCACAGTTCTGCCAGTCCTGACAGCTGAGGTGGTGTGAGTAGAATCGTGACGTATTTTAAGTAACAAAATGGGTTTCAACTGTCATGATTGGTTGAGATATTTTTTATGCATTCGCCACATACGTTGTACTCCGAAATTCTCCTTTTCACTCGATTGACACTATTTTTCGAATTGTGAGAATTTGATTCCAGATCGAGTATCCCCAATGTAAACTTCAAAGGCCCATAACTTAAAGGTAAATATTGACTACTCAAGTTAAGGAAAATTGATCTTTATTTCATTGAGTTTTTAGCTCATTTTTGAAACTGCTCCATGAGTGTTTTTCGGGTAATCCAGTATTTTTCTTGTAAGATTGGATATCTCTACTTTCCATATATACCAAAATTGCTATATTTTTATTGGAAATAACCACCCGATAAATACTTTTCTGGGAACCCATCTTTAACTATGTTTTTATTTTCTACAGTAAATTACCAAGTTGGTATAAATCTGCTCTGTTTAATGAGTTATATTTTGTGAGTGATGGTGGAACAGTTTGGTTAGATCCGTATGAAACAGATAAAGATTTTAAGGCTGACATCAGTTTACACCCATATGTTAAAGATATTGGCCGATTTGGATATTTAGAAGGTAAGGTTTGGTCACATTTATAATTACATATGAAACACTGGTGGTCTTGGCTGTTAAGGTCTGGCCCCAAGTTCACAAAGCATTCGACTCAGACTTAAGTTAAGAATTTACTCAACTTTCAATCACTATTTATGAGAAATGTCTTTGATGAAGAAACACAAAACTTTGCACATAGTTTCTTATTGATGTATTTGATACAATAAAACAACAAAAGTTTTATAAAGGGCTATTGTTTAGTTAAAATAAGGCGAACAATGGTCGAATGGTTAGCACGCGCACGCTGTATCTTAAGGCCTGTCATTGAGTCAACAGCCGTGGTTTCGAATCCCCGGTTGTACGTGACAAGGAGTAGGGTTGCCTGTCCAACCTCGTGGGTTTTCTCCGGGTCCTCCGGTTTCCTCCCACTGGTAAAGACCCCTACGCGCACGCGAATTATTGAAATTAAATTAAAAGCATATGTTAGTCCCGAAATAACCTAGTCTGTGTCGAGTTGACGTTAAACTCCATTTCTCTCTCTCTCTCCAGTCAGTTGAAGTCTGTTGCCCATGGTTAACTTTCTGCAACTAGTTGCTATTGACATAATCACTCTTACAACTAGCGTCGACTCGTTTCCATGGATATAATATCACGTGATAAGAGACTTGTGTCATGTGACTTTATAAATAAGCAAAACAGAAGCAAAAGAAGACGCCCACTTTTCAAATGTTGATGATGTGCACAATAATGTATTAATAGAATTGTGACAAGACTGGAAATGCCTTTGGGGTGCTTCCTCTAAGGTATTCATCATTTTGTTGATCATGTGATGAATAAATTAACAGATGTGTTAATTTTAATCGCTATCAGTTCCAAGTTGACAAGAGCAATCCGAATTCAGTTGCTCTCAGTTGCTGATATGATTGATCGACATAAGCACACTTGCAACACACTGCTTTGAGTTGAAAAGTCGACATAAGCCTTACCTATTTAAAAATCGGCACCTTTCCAATAATTGTTTTACTATTTAGTCCATGTCTTCATGAGGGGTTGGGGGGGGGGGGGATATATCAACAGATGTTGAAGATCTCTGAACTAAATACTTTATTCGACCAACCTTATGTTTTGAATTTAAATACAACAAATTAAAGATGAGTAATGAGTTAAGAATAATTTGGTGCATATTATACTATGACACTGTTTTTACACCTGGACTGTATCCCTGCTTTTCGGCAGTTAGCATACAAGCAAAGAACTGGAAGTAACAGGAACATTTTGAGAATGTAGTTGGGATGAGGTTTTTGAAATGAAATGAAATGAAATGGGGTTTAACGTGCTACTGTTCTGCTCCGAACTGGGCTAATGAAGACGGGCATATGCCATACAGTGTGCTATGAAGGAAATTTTGCCCGGACAGCAGCACTATGGCCTACTCTTATATCAAATTCCAACTGTCAAGGGATCTTTTACGTGCATGCCAATGTGTACACAGGACTTTGGTTTTTTGTCCCATCCGAAAGACTAGACAGCTGTCCTTGTCAGGCCCTCCGTCCTGCATCACTGACAAGGGGGAACTACGCCGGAAAATCTGGATGAACTTTCTCGGCCAATGCAGGGATCGAACACCCGACCTCCAGCTGTCCTTGTCAGGCCCTCCGTCCTGCATCACTGATGCCGGAAATTCAGGATGAACTTTCTTTTTGACTTGAATTATATTTTTAGGTATGGAATATAGAATGTATAATACATATGATGTTCATCACTATGCATCTTTCTCACTCATCATGCTCTGGCCTAAATTACAATTATCATTACAATATGATTATGGTAAGTTAACAATTACAGTTATCTTTAAAATATGAATATGGGCAAGTTAAAGTATGATTACAATTATATTTACAATATAACATAGGTATTATGTAATTACAATTATATTTACAATATAACACTGGTATTATGTAATTAAGATTATATTTACAATATAACATGGGTATTATGTAATTACAATTATATTTACAATATGGCACAGGTATTATGTAATTATAATTATATTTACAATATAACATGGGTATTATGTAATTACAATTATATTTGAAAAATACCATGGGTATTATGTAATTACAATTATATTTACAATATAACATGGGTATTATGTAATTACAATTATATTTACAACATGGCATGGATATTATGTTATTACAATTATATTTCCAATATGGCATGGATATTATGTAATTACAATTATATTTACAGTATAATATGGGCATTATGTAGTTGCAATTATATTTACAATATAACATGGGCATTATGTAATTACAATTATATTTGAAATATAACATGGGTATTATGTAATTACAATAATATAATAATATTATAGCAAGAATGGCTAGCACTTTATCTAAATCTAACATAATGTATGTTTAAGAAACTAATATAAATGTAATATTTTCAGCTGCTACAATAGTAAAGAATGACGATACATGTATGAAATATTTGATGCATGGAGCAAAGGGTCCAACACATGTGGCTAATACAGTACCACACGATATGGGGGATCCTGGTAAGCAAAATAATATTTTTCACCGTCCGTTTTGCGCTAAATAAATGTTACCCTCTCTCACAAAACCAGGCGCTTGTCACACAAGTTCGTTATATACTACGGGCACAAAAGTATAAACCGTAGGCATTCTTGTTGCTGTGAATGAGCCGAACTCCAAATGATACAACAAATTTTAAAAAGAATTGTATTTTTGGAAAGCTTATGGGCTGTCGAGTATTTGTGGGAACAGCTCACAAATTGTAAAACTTTCAAATGATTATAAAGTATTTGTTGCTGGTCAACAAATTGTACTATTTTACAATATTCCAATTAATTGATGATACAAATTTCATCTTAACACACCTAATTTAAAAAATTGGAAAAATTCAACTAAATGATTTGAAAAGCCTGACGTAAAGCTTTTCAAATGTGACTTGGATTTAAAAATATTTTTGAACCCTCTGGACAAGTAAAATAGGGTTTAATGGATGATTTACACAACAGGTAAGACACTAACACATCTAGTACTTAGAATAAGGCTATTTTTTATTTTCTGGAGATGTCAAGCCAGCAAGAGTGTTATTGTCCCTTTAAAATGGTTGTTTTGGAACATAAAAATTCTGCTTGTTATTGAGGTAGAATCTTCATAATCATGTGCATTAGATGAATGTCTTGACTGAGTTCGATAATGAGCATAGATAAGTAATTAATTATTTATAAAACCTTTAGTTAAACCTGTTACTACTAATAGCCAAATGGAACAACATTGGAATAAAGTTAATCTTATTTCTATCATTCATTTGTTTCATTTTACATATATTATTTTTAGAGGATGAACCATGGAAGCGAGTGAATTGTTATACCGTCCATCCTACCCATGATTGGAAAGATTTAAATATGAAGTTTGTTTTACAAGTTTATCGTGATTATATAGCCCTGACAGATAGAAAATATCTAGAAGAAATGTATCCTGTTGCTCTGGTACGATTATTATTCTTATTTCATTAAAAATACATTAGATAACGAGCTGGCAGTTCTCACTAAAATGGGGAGTTGGATGGCTGAATGGTTAGCATGTGCGCGCTGTATCATAAAGCCTGTCACTGAGTCAACTGGCGTGGTTTCGAATCTCTGGTTGTACGTGACAAGGAGTAGGGTAGCCTGTCCAGCCTCGTGGGTTTTCTCCGGGTCCTCCGGTTTCCTCCCACTGCTAAAGACCCCTACGCGCAAGCGAATTATTGAAATAAAATTAAACCATATGTTAGTCCCAAAATGACCTAGTTTGTGTCGAGTGGACGTTAAACCCCATTTCTCTCTCTCTCTCTCTCTCTCTCTCTCTCACTATAATAGTTAAAAACTAGATAACGTCAGTCAAATTGATCCACTCTGAACCGAGAATTTAGCGATTGAATTTTAGGCATAGCCTCGAACATCATTACTAAAGTCGGTACGATAAAAAACATAGTCTTGATTATCCATTTTTTTGATTTAATCATCAATGAACGTTGAGCAGCAGATTGGATTTCAATCCAGGAAATATCGCAGCCTAGCCTTGACATTGAGAGTTGAGTATGGTCTGGATAAGTTAATTAATGTCTAATTAATAATTTCAGGCCTAATACCATACTCCTCGCAGTGTTTCGTTTGATTAGAGCTAATCCCACTACTCACTGCTGTAAACAAAGCAAATTCTTGTTCTAAATTATGACTGGTCATTAGTCCGATTAACAACCAATAGCTAACTGCGTAACAATACCAAACAGAGCTCCAAATTGGACCAAATATGTTTACATAACGTTACGTCATGACTCACGATTTTATTATGCCCAATTAACCAGTGCATAGTAGAATATTGCAGAAAAACTAATTGTGTGACAAACAAGGCTATCAACTGTCAACACGATTTTTACTCTGGGGATATGATGTAAACAATATTGTTTTGAGACGAACATAACTTTCACCGTTTTTAATACCTTAAACCACTGTCCAAAGTTTTAGGGAAGACCCCTGATTAAACGAAGGGCTGTCATGTTGCTGTGCTTTTGGATAGATTTGATTGAACGGGAAGAATAGACACACTCCCTTAAAAGCGCAAGTATCAGAAGCTAATCCAGCAATGGCCAGAGAGGGATTTCTCTGGCCATTGCTTCAGGAATATGGCCTAATACCTGCAATAGGTAGATTAAGCTCTTACATGATGTATGTTTAAATCTTTGACAAGACTTCCTTCTGCCCTGGGAGCCATGGTGGATCAGTGAGCAGGACGTTGGTTCGCTAACCTGAAGATCACATGTTTGATCTCCGCAGGATTTTACAGAGTGGTGCCCCCTTGTCATTGGTGTAGGACGGAGGGTCTGGCAATGGATAATCGCTCAGATGGGACGATAAACCGAGGTCCTATGCACGAGACCCTGTCAGTTGGAATTAAAATTTGCTGTCCGGGCAAAATTTTAGCACTGTATGGCGTATACCCGTCTTCATTAGCCCAGTAGGAACAGAACAGTAGGACGTTAAACAATCTGATTAAGATACAGATCTATATTTCGTTTCATTTTTTTATACTTTCGATGGCCTACACTACACGAAGATCGGACAAGTTATAGCGATAGGTCACGTCAGGGGTCAAAAGACCGACTTATGACCCTATGACATCAGACATTTGATTAACCAATCAGCATTGATGTTACTAGTGGATAACCCACAGTTCCGTGAAAAACACGCCTAAAGCTCGCCGTAACAGACCGTTTCATTGACTTATCCCTAACACCATTCAGAACACGAGTTAAATAACAACTCTTCCAGATCCAAGTGTAGTAAAGACAAGTAAAAAGAAATTTTGAACTATAAAAACGAAACGAAATAGGATCTGTGTTTAACATGATTGGATCTTAAACTCCATTTCATTTCATTTCATGTAATGTGTGATATGTTATAATATGTTTATAAAGTTATTGTAATGTGTGATATGTTATAATATGTTTATGAAGTTATTGTAATGTGTGATATGTTATAATATGTTTATGAAGTTATTGTAATGTGTGATATGTTATAATATGTTTATGAAGTTATTGTAATGTGTGATATGTTATAATATGTTTATGAAGTTATTGTAATGTGTGATATTTTATAATGTGTTGATGAAGTTATTGTAATGTGTGATATATTACAATATGTTGATGAAGTTATTGTAATGTGTGATATGTTACAATATGTTTATGATGTTATTGTAATGTGTGATATTTTATAATGTGTTGATGAAGTTATTGTAATGTGTGATATATTACAATATGTTTATGATGTTATTGTAATGTGTGATATTTTATAATGTGTTGATGAAGTTATTGTAATGTGTGATATATTACAATATGTTGATGAAGTTATTGTAATGTGTGATATGTTATAATATGTTTATGAAGTTATTGTAATGTGTGATATTTTATAATATGTTTATGAAGTTATTGTAATGTGTGATATGTTATAATATGTTGATGAAGTTATTGTAAAATGTTTAAATGTAATTTTAGGGAGTAATGGAACATTCGTTAGATTGGGATACAGATGGTGATGGTATTATAGATAACTCTGGTTATGCTGATCAAACATACGATGCGTGGACCATGCAAGGAGCAAGGTTAGTTTCAGAGAGAGAGAGAGAAATGGGGTTTAACGTCCACTCGACACAAACTAGGCCATTTCGGGACTAACATATGGTTTAATTTTATTTCAATAATTTGCTTGCGCGTAGGGGTGTTTAGCAGTGGGAGGAAACAGAAGGACCCGGAGAAAACCCACGAGGTTGGACAGGCGACCCTACTCCTTGTCACGTACAACAGGGAATTCGAAACCACACCAGTTGACTCAATGACAGACGTTATGATACAGCGCGCACGTGCTTACCATTCAGCCATCCAACCCCCCGGTTAGTTTCAGACTTTCAGATGTCATATATATGTTTCTTAAATCCCATTACCTTAATTCTGAAACTTAGCGGAGCCACGGTGGGTAAGTGAGTAAGATGCAGGCTTGCCTGCCCGGAGGTTGCGGGTTTGCTCCCAGTGTTGCACGAGAAAGTTCATCAGAATTTTCCGGCGTGGTTACCCCTTGTCAGTGGTGCAGGAAGGTGTCTATTCGTTTGGATGGTATGAAAAACTGAGGTCCTGTGTACATATTGGCGTGCACGTAAAAGATCCATTGACAGTTGGAATTCGATATAAGAGTAGTCCGTAGTGCTGCTGCCCGGGCAAATTGCCCAGTATAGGAGCAGAACAGTAGGACGTTAAACCCCATTTCATTTCATCATAATTTTGTTTTTTTATTATCTTAGTGCTTATTGTGGAGGTCTGTGGTTAGCTGCATTACGAATGTTGTGTGAAATGGCTTTTATACTTGGTAAAACAGAAGATGTCGATAAATTCGCGGCCATCCTAAAACTAGGAGCGAAATCATATCAAGATAAGTTATGGACGGGTAAATATTATCAGTACGATAGCAGCAACAGCGGCCATCATGATAGTATCATGGCCGATCAACTGTCTGGACAATGGTTTCTGCATGCATCTGAAATAGTAGATGAAGCTGTAAGTAGATTAACTGGATGTTTTAGACTACATTTATCAACAAATTAACCATACATTATGCAAGAGCTAAATCTGCCTATTGCAGGTCTTTCCTTAAGCCTGAACAAATTTTTGAACATAAAAAAAAAATTGATATACATTGTCCGTCAATTTTATAGCACCCCTGGGAACAGCTAGTTACGGCCCTGTGTTATATAAACTATTAATTAATTAATTAGACTTTATTAACTTGCCAAGACCATAATCAATTCTCGATGCCATTTTATCTATCCGATTTTCATTGGATTTGAATCAGTTGATGATTAAACACATAAATGGATAATCAAGACTTTGTTAATTATCATGAAAGCTGTAACAATAACAGTCGAGGCTACAAAGATTTTATAATAAGGTTTTCTCGGCTTAAAGTGAAGTAATTTGACTGAAATTTTCAGCATATTCCCTTTACATTATCTAGTTTTTTAACTATTATAGTGGGAACTGCCAGCTCTTTATCTAATCTTCCATAATGTATCTTTAATCAATGTTTTAAACACCAGTTAAATTGGAGTTATTTGCTGGAGACAGAAGACTATAATTAACTTTAAGTAGGAGTTCATATTATGAGAGAGGTTATTCGATCACTTCTTTGGTTCTTGAGAATAACAAGTTACATTTAATTATCAATGGTTTGAAGAAAGGGTGGCACACTAGCCAGAGGCCAACCATGTTCCTGAAGCAACGATGACGAGTTTTACAACATCAAGGTGATGCTAGACTGGTCTGCAGTTCCCAAACTTATAGCTACGTTATCTCCCTTTACTGCAGACACGGGAACAATAGCGTCCAATCAGAGGCTGTTAAAGTTACAATTTCATATTTTCTAAGAAAGTCAAAACATAACTATTTCTATGTCTTTTGCTCAATAGGTTGTCAACTCACTATTATACGATCATAGGTGTCATTCTCACACTTAAAACTCATTTACACCGGAAATAATAACACAATTATCTCCCAATTACCACCCTTGATTTCTATTCCCCACCATGGAGTAGCTATCTTCAAACATTTGAATTTGAAGTTGAAAATGATATTTTTGCCAATTTCTCAGCTGGCAATAGCGAATTATAGGATTAATAGGATTATTCTTTAACAAGGTAGGACTGTTTATAGATACCATCTATTTTAGTGCTTTATTTTAATAAATTTTAAAAATTTGAAATTGTAACTTTAAACATATCAAACATGGCGCCATGACCTCCACGGAAACCTTGACATTGAACGAACCTTGAAATTTGCAACTCAATTATCACAGGTAGACATTTTAGCTGGAAAATGCAAGACTTGGTATTCGCGATGATCGAGGAATCTGATAGGGTTCCCACCTGCATCAGTAATCAATTGAAATTAGTGCCTAAATATCCATTTCTGGCGTGGTTCCCCCTTGTTCGGATGGGACGAAAAAACGAGGTCCCGTGTACACATTGGCGTGCACGTAAAAGATCCCTTGACAGTTGGAATTCGATATAAGAGTAGGCCGTGGTGCTGCTGTCCAGGCAAAATTTCCCTCATAGCACACTGTATGGCATATGCCCGTCTTCATTAGCCCAGTTCGGAGCAAAACAGTGGGACGTTAAACCCCATTTCATTTCATTTCATTTCCTAAATATCCAGGGTATCACGTGAAGGCCTTGGAGTTAAAGCAAGGTAAAACCCCTTCTATTGAAGATGGAGGCCAACAGGATTTCAGTGCAAGTAACGGTAATCAACGCAAGGTCTTAACAGGGCAAAGGGTGGTGGTGGTGGGGGGGGGGAGTGGCCAAATGGTTAGTGTGTGCGCATTGTATCATAAAGTCTGTCATTGAGTCAACTGGTTTGGTTTCGATTCCCCGGTTGTACGTGACAAGGTGTAGGGTTGCCTGTCCAACCTTGTGTGCTTTTGTTTCTTGAAAGGGGGGTTGGATGGCTGAGTGGTTAGCGTGTGCGCGCTGTATCATAAAGTCTGTCATTGAGTCAACTGGTTTGGTTTCGATTCCCCGGTTGTACGTGACAAGGTGTAGGGTTGCCTGTCCAACCTTGTGTGCTTTTGTTTCTTGAAAGGGGGGTTGGATGGCCAAATGGTTAGTGTGTGCGCGCTGTATCATAAAGTCTGTCATTGAGTCAACTGGTTTGGTTTCGATTCCCCGGTTGTACGTGACAAGGATTAGGGTTGCCTGTCCAACCTCGTGGGTTTTCCCCAGGTTCTCTGGTTTCCTCCCACTGCTAAAGAAAGACCCCCTACACACAAGCGATTATTGAAACTAAAAATAAACCATATGTTAGTCCCGAAATGACCTAGTTTGTGTCGAGTGGACGTTAAACCTCATTTCTCTCTCTCTCTTTCTGTTTCTTGAAAGAGATGTCCAAACGATTGTTTTAAACCAGTTTTTATTTTTCTGTAGGTATTCCCAGCCGATAAAGTAAGAACAGCTTTAAAGACTGTGTTTGATAATAATGTGATGAAGTATGCCAATGGTACGATGGGCGCCATCAACGGCACAAAACCAGACGGTTCACGAGACACAAGTAGTCCACAATCAGAAGAATTTTGGACGGGTATTACGTATGGTTTAGCTGCTAGTATGATACAAGAGGTATGATTGGTTGAATTCTAGAATACAAAATAAAACGAAATGGTGTTTAAAGGAAACCTCGGCCGTTGAAAAACACCTCTGTTGGTTGGAAACGCCTCATAGCACACTGTATGGCGTATGCCCGTCTTCATTAGCCCAGTTCAGAGCAAAACAGTAGGACGTTAAACCCCATTTCATTTCATTTCTATTCTATAACTACATACAAATACAAGCAAATATCATGGGTTGTATTCAATGGCTTGGACACGTACTACTTTTGTTCAGAATTACATCAAACTGTAATGCAACCACGATTTTTGTAAAAAAAAAAAGGGCGGAACCTATGATGAATTTAACGTTATTGGTGATGATTTTTTTGATAATCTGGATAGTACAATGTATTTTGAGATTTACATGTAGTTATAGAATAAAAACAGAACTCAATGACCATTGCATACCGCTCGGGTTATTCAATGGTTCACTCGAGTGTATCCCTGCCGCATTCCGAGCGGTATTCAATGGTCATTGAGTTCTATCTATTTATTTACTAACAATGTACGTTACTCCATCCAGAGATGAATATTGTATGTTTAACCATTACAGGGTATGCTAGACGAAGGCTTTCAGACTGCATGGGGAGCATACCATGCATGCTGGGAAGGATTAGGCCTACAATTCCAGACACCAGAAGCTTACACGTCCACCAAAGGATATCGATCACTAGGTTACATGAGACCACTTAGTGTCTGGGCTATACAGTGGGCAATTGAAAGATTTCAACGCCAATTACTAGTTAACTAAGTCAAACTTAACGTTAATATTTACGATCGTTAATAATTTTGAAGGGTTTTATTTTTTTTTACCGTGTTTGTTAAACATACATTATGCAAGAGGTAAATCTGCCTATTGCAGGTCTTTCTTTAGGCTTGAAATGTTTTTTTAAATTATTAATTAGACATTAATTAACTTATCTACACCATAATCAACTCTAGATGCCATCGGATGTTTGCGATATTAAACATACATTATGCAAGAGATAAATCTGCCTATTGCAGGTCTTTCTTTAGGCCTGAAATGTTTTTTAAATTATTAATTAGACATTAATTAACTTATCTACACCATAATCAACTCTAGATGCCATCGGATGTTTGCGATATTAAACATACATTATGCAAGAGATAAATCTGCCTATTGCAGGTCTTTCTTTAGGCCTGAAATGTTTTTTAAATTATTAATTAGACATTAATTAACTGATCCAAACCATAAACAACTCTCAATGCCATCGGATTTCTCTGATATTAAGTAGATTAGAACAATTCAGACATATTTTGATTTAAGCTAAAACTGGAAGAGGGAGACTTAGCTTCAAACTATTATAGCAAGAATGGCTAGTTCTGTATCAAAATCTTACATAATGTATCATTAACATCAATATTTATGATCGTTAATAATTTACCATACAC